TCTTCGTAATAACCTTATAATCCTCAGTACATTAACCAGGATGGTGTACACGTTATTGCGAACAGTTGTAAAACAATACCAAAGCAAATTCAGAAATGCAGATTGCAGAATATCATGAAGTAGTACAGAAGACAATATTTTGGAAATGGTGCATCGAAATGAATAGTTGAATATAATACTAGTAGTAAATCTTCCAAATAAATACAATTGGGTTTTGAGACTTAGCCCCAGTCTGAGTGAAGTATTTGCACACACATGATTAGCCCATATAAGTTGTGTTCACGTTACACAAAGTACAAGCTAAGATTTAAGCTGATTTAGGCTTATCTTGCATATTTGCATTTCGGCTAGACCCAATTGCGTCCACGCACATGGAGGGCCAGTCGTTAGCACGGGCTAAGGGGTGCCATTAGTTGGTGACCTTTGGTAAGCCGCTATTTACGAACTAAAAATGGATGACACGCGCGAGGTTCTATTTCTGCTTCTGGCATGTTTCGTTCTAATTTTGAAGCGACGTGCACAGGAACGCGAGAGAAGACTGACCACTTATTTGGATGCACATAAACAGTATACAACGGGCGTAACAGAATACAGTGTTTTATTAATGCATGTCGTAGACAGCGAACCAAATTTATTTTGTCTACGATTGGAGCTGCTGTACGCTCTACTACAGTGACCCGATTAGTGTGGAAGTGAGCGCGGAGTAATGACTGGTGGAATAGTGTCGTTATACGAACATGGGACAATTTTCACACCCAAAGGTCGCCGCAGAGGGCGCTTAGCCCTGGGCTAAGCGTTCGCGCATACTTCGTTAGCCCGTGCTAAGGTCTAGACCGCGTCTTAAATTCGGATCAGATTTAACCCGTACTTAGCATTCCTTAGCCCGTGCTAAGCGTTCACGCACGTTTTCTTAGCACGGGCTAAGGAATTTGACCTCTTAGCCCGTGCTAAGGAGCTGTGCGTGAACGCAACTATAAAGAATCTGGACCGGGTTTTATAAACAAATCAGATTTAACCCATACTTAGCCTAAAGAGGGTCTATGGTACAAGATAACATTTTTGATCTTATAGCGCATGCTAAAAAGCTGTGTGCAAACGTAACTACTAGTATACATGTACATATTTACAGTAATCATTGATGTTTTCATTTGATCTCCAATGTTGTCATTGTTCAGAGTAAATATTTGTTATAAAATCAACACAATTAAATTTTTGTGATTGCTTTTGTGGAACTTTACACTTGATGTGCTGAACAGTCACACTCAACTTTTCAACATCCTTTTAGCAAATTACAAGATTTAAATGACAAAATATTTTAATCCCTTGTTTTGACCCCTGACCCACCTAATATTTGCGGGGTTGTCCCTTAACATCACCTTATCTGCATGTGATCGTACACTGTGCTAGCGTTGCTGATACAAAAGTTAGTTTAGAAGCTGCACCAAGGTAGGAACCATCATTGATTTAGTTCAAGATAACAAAAGATGAATACAAACGGAGACTGATTTACTGATCATTAGGTGTAGTAATTACTATATTGACTCTGGTAATAGTACATCTATGTGTAAATAGCAGAGATGACCATAAAATTCAAAATTTTTCAGTTTAGCATGTTTTGATACAAGCATAAATATTTTGAATTTTTTAGGAAAATTTTTTTGCAAGTCAGTGAATATTGAATTTTAAACATCAATGTGTTCAGCAATTGTGCATACATACTGTGGAATACTTTATTTTCGCTGGAATAAATTTTCACTGAAAAGGCTTTTTGGGCGTTTTGCTTGGAATTTATTTTCACTGATTTTTGGTGAGTTTAATGTGAAATATAGAAAAAAAGTATATTCGTTGGATTTTATTTTCACGGAATCATCCCTTCAGCGAAATAAATTCCAAGCGAAAATAAAGTATTCTACAGTAATCAATAAATACTAGTATATACCTGTTATCTTTACACCTGTTTTTTGTTACTTCTTTAACTGTCAACT